ATTTACCTGTTGATGTGTTGAGTAAAATTGATTCGGAAAAAAATTGGAGACCCGAAATATTTGAAAGAAGCATTGAAGAGAATACAGCACAATATAAAATATCAAGACTTGGTCCTAAAATAACAAGACATTTGAAATCAAGAAAAAAGATATATATCATTGAATACTGTATTATGAGAGAGGGAGTGCCATTTAGTTTAAAAAGTATAGAAGACATAATAACAGAAGAAAAAGAATAATTATTATCTTTAATCTATGAAGAAGTAGAAGATGATGTAAATTATAGAGTTAAACTTGATATTGAAGTTCAATTAGTGGCAAAACTCCCAGAAAAGGAATATGGAGAAAATGAATTTAGTTATAGAGAGATTTATTTTATGAATGGCTTTGATGAATACGTAGATAAAGATAATATAGATTATGTATTAGATAAAGCAGTTGAAGAAATACAGGAAGATATAGATGAAGACAATGATAAAGACAGTATAATAGGAATACAAGCATTTCATTTTGAATTACAGCACCCGACAGAATTATGGAAAAAATTCAACGTTTCAATTTACAGGCGCCGCCTGTCTATGATAGAAAAGTTACGAACCTTTTGTTTCCATAATTATTGTTTCCATAATTGTTTTTTCCATAATTCTGTCGGTGACTGTATGTCCATCGATTCGCAATTTGAATGCATTTTAAGGGGGAATATTGAATTATAGAAAATATGTGTCTAAAGATCTGGTATATGCCCCTAAAGCCTGCCATTGATATACATAATATTATGTATACGGGTATGTACATGTAAACCCCATTTCACCATTCGCTTCCATAGCCCAAAAAAAAACGGGTTTGAATTGTGGATCCATGACATGTCCAACAGGTGGAGCCCCAAACATTAATTATGGAAAAACTAATTATGGAAAAACCGGTCAATCTGCCCTAGCCCCCTGATTTCACAGGAAAAAATCAAGTATGGAAATAATGGCCACCTCCAAGAATTATGGAAAAAAAAAGGTTCGGATCACTTCCGGGATATTTTGAACCCTTATGGGGAAAAATCCAATTATGGAAAAATCGGACGCAGGCGCCGCCTGTCTAAGTTGAACGTTTTATTTTTTCCATAATTCTGTCGGTTACGATAGTAATTATTGAAGTCATTTACTACTTACATAATTTTAATGATAATATTATTAGAGTTATGGGTTTGTAAGATAGGATTATTAAAGACTAAGGAAGTATTTGTATTGTTGTGTATTGTTTTGTTTTTTATGTTGCGCTTTGCTTGGTTTGTTTTTTGTTTGTTGTTTGGTTGTTTTGTTTTGGGTATGGAATGGATGAGGTGATGATGTATTGACTGTGACGATTTCTATAAAATGGATGAGGTGTAGAGATTGTAGGTTGTTTTGATTTATGAAAATGAATGAGATGATGATATGGTTAGTAGTGATGATTTTGTGGAATGAATGAGGTAATTGTGGTTAGTTGTTATGTACTTTTTTTGCAAATAATTATTGAGTTGTTATACTGCTATAATTTGAATTTATAAAACTTCTTTGAACTAGTGTTTTTAACATTTTTTTTGGGGGGGGGTCCCCCCTACACTAATCTGTATCCCACATTAATTTAAATCTATTTTACATGCAAGCTAGTCAGAAACTGTGATGGCTCAAGGTGTTCCACTCATCATGCATCTTCCCCCCAATCTCAATGATAGTCCAACATTCGCGACCCAAAAATGTGGCACCCCCGGGCCTCGGGATGCCAGCATGAAGGCCACCTGGGTGGAGAACAGGCGCAGCATGGCGCAGCAACGGCAGCTCGGGGCAACAACACATCGCTCTTGAGCATGCCGTACCGAGGCTGTGACATACAAGAAACCCCAGAGGCTCACACCTCACAATAGCAAGGAGACGTCAATGTGAGATATATCAAAGATGTGGCATGGTGGCGAATGGAAGGCCATCTCATTGGTCGGTGTTTTGCACATGATTCATCAAAAAACGGGTTGATCATTCTGCCCTGCTACCCCAATGATCCCAAATCAACAATGATGACAGAACACCATCATGCCAGATTGGGCCTCGCAAAGCCAGAGTGATGGGAGGCAGCAAGCAAAGGCTGGGCGTCGCCAGAATGCATTTGCATGACCTGAGGGAAGACAAAAGTAAGATCCAGTGCTTCCGACAAACCCTACAAGGTGGTGCCACCCAATTATAGGATGTTATAAGTTGGTTTATAACATCCATGAAGTACAGATGTAAACAGTAAGTATGTATATAATATATATATATATATATATACACAATCATATGCGTGTATAGCATCTACCAGAAACCCTCAGAAACCCTTGTCTTGCCAACACCATGGCTGGCATCCAGCACCAGAAACCCTGAGGCTCCAGGCCAAGAGATACACTTCACAGCCTGGTCGGATGCCCAAGGGATGCCAAGGGGGTGAAGCCAAGCCACTTCTAAGCTCCGCACGGTCTCCATCCATGCACTCATCTGACAACCCATCCACAGGAAAACAAACCTAAGTACTGGCAAAATACTGAACGACTCTCCATCTCTCTCCCTCTCTCCCTCGCTCGCTCGCTTGCTCTGTCCCTCTCTTTTTCTGTTTAAACTCTCTTAGATTTGTCATGTGTGGTTTCCTCTCCGGTACCATCCAACAGCAGTCCTGTACCCGCAACAACTTTTGGGAAATGTGTCAAGAATTGTGGGGACCAAACCGCGCCAACATGTTTCTACTAAGCCAATGACCCCACTACCATCATCGCCCAGGCAGCTACTTGATCCTGGCGTTGCCAGCATTTTTGCTGGGCTCATTGGCACCACTTATTCACCACCAACTGGGCATGAGCAAAAACATGGCCGTTGTCAACTCACTGCAGCATCACCATTCTCTGCGGTTGTATGTCTGTTCATTGTGTTTCAGGAACCTGTCAACGTTCTGGGAACACTCCCTTTTACATCCTCTTACCCTTTTCTTTACACGGTTGATACCTCTGTCGCTTCTGTTTCTTCTTCCAATTCTTCTCCGTTTTTCGTGCCGTTGCTGTGGAGAGTGTCGCCTTGCTGTGGATGGTGTGAGAAAAATACAGTAGGTGTCATGCGAAAACACCCTGCCTGCCCTGAGGCCCCTTCACTGGTGCCGCAGAGATCTGTCCTGGGGATTGCGGCATAAATTTTGCACAACTCCTTGAATCCTACCCTCTACAGTGGTGAAAAGCCATGAGAAGAGACAAAGTCCCACTCCAAAAATACAAATTATAAATTTAAATATATATATATATATATTTATACATATATCTGTGTATGTGCTTATATACGTATAATACAAGTGCGTGTCTTTGTGCTATATCAAGGTGTTCTTTGTTGAGGCTGCCCTTCACTCCCAATCCTCTGCGCATCGTTCCGCGAGCACCTGAGGAACTGACAGCTCCATTCAGAAACCGTGGAAGGATACTGAATGATACGGTAGTGTATGCACAGAATACAGTCCTAATCAAGTTATAATTCATGTTAGTTAATTACTGTTAGTTAATGTTAACTGTTGATAACTATAGCTGATACTGTATATTTAAAAAAAATGATGTCACTTATTTACTTACCAGTACTTGCTAATTTGCTAGTTATATAATTAGTATAAGCAGCCGGAGCTTTGCTTGGGCCTTATCACCTTGGGAGATCATGCAGTGCGATCGTCCTGAGGCTTCTACCAAAATAAATACGCTGAGGTGGCGAACGATGCCGTCTGGCACAAATGGCACTTCAGTTTTTCGGACTTCACACAGTGCCGGAGACTGTTTGGTGCAAAATTGTGGCAGAGAATGTCCTTCCAGAATCTTCCACACACAATCATCTGACTGCACACACTCCCTTTTCTATCCTTTTCTTTGGTAGAGTCATGTATTCACCATTTTGACCCACGATGCTGGGCTCAAGTAAAATCCATGGACCCCCTCTCTAGCCCGAGAAAGATGCTTGGTTCCCCCATGTTCTCCCAAAGCATGCTACGATGACAATGACAATGAGCACGCCAGCCCTTAGTACCGATCAGGACAGACCAGTTACACTAGGTGATGATGCCTTGTGCCACAGGATGCCACAGGCCACGGCTTTCTTGGATGCTTTTCTTGCCGAAAATCCGACTTGCAAAGCAACAAGACAAAGAAGTGACCTGGGGGACCTAGCATGACCTAGCTACAGCATCAAAGTTTGCAGGCTGATGGCAGCAGGTGTCAAGGTTTTCTGGAAAACCTTCACGAAGCCTAAAAAATCCAATGCCCAAAACCCGCAGCAACTCCAGCAACCTTTTCGGACGCGCTATTTTCAGAGCTCCAACTTTGGGTTGCCATCTGCGATGTTTTGCTCTGGCAAGATGCTCTGAGCAGAATAAATAACACGGCCATTGCCTGCGATGCGGATACCAGCACCTTACTGCAACGAACTAAGCCTAAGGATGTTGGGGAAGAACTGATTCGCAAACGTCCTGGCTGTGTTTGTTGGGGTTTCAAGATTGAAATTGGATGAAATTGGATCCTTTGATGCCAATTTCCCAGGCCGCACTCCGCAACTTCCCTGTCCTTCCATCCAGGGCGTGGAATACTCCATGGCTCTGCTTTAGTTGGAACGTTCGCCAAGATATGACAAGATATCCTTAGCTGCAAAGGGGATCAAAATGGATCAACGACTCCGAATCTTAGAAGCTACAAAGCGTAGTGTACAAGTAGCTCTGTTGAAGGTATTTTCACACATTTTCACACAGTTCAATCAGAGTTGCAGGGCCATACTGCCAAAGAGACCCAAAGAGACCCCTGCAAACAGCCGAAAAAACACTTGAGATGGCACCAGGTGGTCCGAACCAGGTCCGAACCAGGTCCCACCACTGGGACTGGGCACGCCACAGTGATCGATCATCCGAGCATTTCTCATTTGGAGACGGCAAAAGACATGTCTAAAAAAGGCGTCAGAATGTGTGGAAAAACATGAATGAACACTGGCACTGGATCACACTGGATAAAAAAATCCAGGACTCCTGCGAAACAAAAATCAAGAGTTGTTTTTGGAATGACCCGAACCTTTTGCGCGAACATGTGCCCTTCTGCCGCTGCACAGTCTTTTTCATCAGCGGTCTACCACTATCACTGGCCTTTGGCCGAGGATGTGGCAAGTGCTGTCGCTATCTGTTTCTGCTGCTGCCTAAAGCTTTCACTACTTTACCGAGTTCAGGCTTTATGTGCCCAAGAATCCTGCGGCTTCTTCTTCAGAACATCCTGCCATGGGATGTCCAGTGACACTTTCAACCATGCTTTCTGCAGATGTTTGTGCTTTTTGTTCCCCTTTACTTCCTCTCTCTTTCCCTCCATCCCCCAATCTTTGATTTGGGAATTTTGCATGTCTCAGCTCGTTATACATAATATATATATATATACCATTAGTGACGAGACTGCAAAAACGAAATGGGAATCGCGGATCAACACCATCATAACTGCCATGCATCTCACTTCTGAGGCATCAAGGTTTCCATGCTACCCACATGATGATCGTGATGGTCCTTTTGTTTTACACGATCTCTGGACAATTTCTGCACGTCTGCGCTAGAAGAGTCTCGCATCATGGCCTGCCAGTGGACACGAAAAGCGAACGCCATCATTTTGGTGTTCATGTCCTTCCTCAGATCTAAGACCACCCGGTCTTAAGTCTGAACAGTCTCGTTGATAATGATGAGCCACTTATAAATAGATCATCTATGACAATGGGTTATAATGGGCACCTATAATAAATCATAATAAAGCATCATTGGTACTTAGATTGGAGCTTTCTTAAGTCATAGGGCTACCCCAAGAATCATCCAAAATCATCCAAGTCATTAGACCATGACTTACATCACTTGATTTGTTTCAAGGCTACGGTGACTTGGAGATCCCACCGCCCCCCACCTTGAACTCTTCAAAATCCAGCGTGCCATCTCCGTCCTGATCGGAGGCCAACACCTAAGCAGGACACCTCGGCAACTACCAACAATCATTAAGGGGTTAACTAAGGTTCTGCCAAAACACCTGGTTTCGAACATCACTGGTTTTAGGGCTTGAGAATTCGGAAATTAGGGGGTTTTGCGTTTAGGGTTTTTCCTTGATAGTTTTTATCTAATTATATAGATGTTTTTAGGGTTTAGGCTGCAGGGGTTTAGGATTTAGATGGGTTGAGGGTTTGCGGCTTTAGGATGTTAGGGTTCAGATGACTTGTGCAATGACGCACAGGTCCCCTACCTGAGCTTTTCAGGAATGCAAGAATGACCCATAATTTACAGTGTTTTGAGAATGCCTCGGGCAAAACAAGGTGTTTGTCTGAAAGGTTACCCTTAGATGTTATCAACCAATATTGACCAGCTATCATTGAAGGATGATGAAAGTCAGGTCAGCATTGAACCAGCATCCGGCCTCTTCAATCGCAGGAAAGAGATTGAAATCCAAATCCTGGAAGCAGCGACATTCCACCCACGTGCCCGGAAGGATTCATGATTTGATACCAGTACATGGGTCAAAGACATGTGGCTAACCCAATCAAAACCTAGGGGGAAAAAACAGGAGGACAAATAGAAGCTACATGTTATTTAAAAGTTTCCATATCTTTCCTTTCACCACTTTCCAACTTTCATGCTCAGACACGCCTTAAAGGATTCAGATTTCAGTGCTTCTTGAAGCTCGGTGCGGTTGATGTGGCCGTCACCATTGCGGTCAAAGGTCCTGATGGCCGTGGCAGGTCGTGGCCAATGGATCCAGGTCCTTGCTGCTTGTTCTTGGGAACGCCCTCAGGTCCAATCTGATGTTTCTATCTCTATTCCCATTGCTGCAGCAAAGGCTCCTGAAGACCGCCTGGGACAAAACATGCATGTCAGAGCACAAACATAAGACTGCTACAAAACACAACAAACGGTTAATTTTGGGTTGTGGTCAGCTAAAAACAAGAATTACATGTATAACGTGTATAATAATGAGAAGGAAAAGTATACTATTTTTCAAGCCGCAAAAAACACCACCTTGTGATCATGTTTCATGTCATGCACATTGTTGGCAAAACTGCCGTGAAAGATCATCTGCAGTTTTTCCGAGGTACTAGGCAAGTGCTGTCAGTCGTGTAGTGCTTTCTGTCCTTACGTGGCACTGGCGGTTCCCCCATGTCCGTCCTTCGCAAGCCACGCACACTGGAAAGTAAAAAGGGGGCATCACCAGCTAAATTTTTGGAGGACAATTTCAGTGGCAATGCTGGCTGATGCTGGCTGTGCTAGGGGATGGACAGTCATTGCAGCAATAAACTCTGGATATGAGATGGTCGCACTGCCATCAACGTCCAGCAGGTCCATCAGCCTGCACAGCACCAGCAGCGAGCAGTTTCCGGCACACGATGGCGCATAACAGTGGATGCAGAGTGTACCGATACGGACCAAAATAGAATGAACATGAGCGCCTACTCTGCCCAACATAAAGCTAACAAATATGCCAGCATTGAGCAGCACATCCCAAATTTCCTGCACAAGTGAAATGGCCCCTCCTCTCGATGTCTTCAGGAATGGCTGCTCTTGCTCGGTAGCCTCCACTTGTCATCCTTGCAGAACTGCATGGCCAAAGTCACACAACTGAAACAAGGTTTCTCAAATCATGATGCTAGGATGTTCGAACGTTGATGTGACTTGATGGATAATATTGTTTCAAAACAATCCAAAATAGTGATACAGTAGATGAGGTGACTCTCCCACCCATACAGTATATGGTGACAATCCTCGCTTAGCGTTGTAGTTCTAGTTGGTCAAGTTTCACCCTTGATCAGCCCATGCAAAGAGACCCCATCAGTGTATAAATCCAAATCACCGAAGATCATCTAAGCAATTGTGCACTATATGTTTGCAATATATCCGCCATTAAGCCTAGTTCCAGATATATTCATAGTTCATACCGATATGTCAGGATATATCTATATATATGTCCAACCAACTTGCCTATCGTTGGGGGCCCAACTGCCCCCATCACCGCTCCAAGGGTCAACTCCATCATGGCTTTTTTGAGCTCTGCCAGGGACACCTCTCGGCGGAGCGCGGAGCTTGACATTGTCTTGATAATGTTATATAAGTATGTTGACATTAACAACAGTAGTGCCCGCACGAGGCGGGGCGGAAGTTGCCTTAGGGTTGTGCTATAAGACCTTTTTCATCTATAGAACTTGCATGCGCCGTGCGCCGGCCAGGCCCCTGCGTGCGTGCTTTGTGCCAACCTGCTGCGCCGCTGTTGTCCAAGAGCATGACCTGCGCGCGACCCGGCGCAATGCAACGCCAAGCGAACACTTTCATCACACTTCGCACTGCACTCTTCACACCCCGCACTCCACACTTCACACTTGCACTTCACACTCCACACTTCAGACAACTCATCTCATCTGAGTTCTTCTCATCTCATTTCATGCCTTCTCATATGTCAGCTAAGTTCTTCTTAACTATTTTCCTTTCATCTGAGCACAGCTCAACCTTTCTCATCTCACCGAAGCTTGTCTCAACTCATCTCGGCTCTTCTGCACTCTGCACGTCAGAAAGCTTGAGACACAGGTGCATTTACACAGACGAGTCTTTACAAAATACTTTCTACTACAAAGCTTGCACAAAGCACGTCCCAGTACTACTTTGTACTACAAAGCGTGCACGAAGCACAGGCTTCCTCCCCACAACCAACCCCCCGGTAACACTCATGCAGCCACTACAATGCGTTTCACAACGACAGCTTCCAAAACACCACGTAACTGGAATGTGCAGGAACATGCGAAACACATCGAAGCAGCCATTACACTGCGGACTACTCCAAGACTTGGCCGAACCTAGCCCGCACCCGCCGCACACACGAGGTACCTTTCATCCCCGGCTGCAGCCACTTTACACGGAAAAACACACGGTTTCGTGCTCCGGCTTCCTCCCCACAACAAACCACATGCAACACTCATGCAGCCATTACAATGCGTTTCGCAACCACGGCTTCCAAAACACAATGTAACTGCAATGTGCAAGAACACGCGAAACACATCGAAGCAGCCATTACACTGCGGACTACTCCAAGACTTGGCCGAACCTAGCCCGCACCCGCCGCACACACGAGGTACCTTTCATTGCCGGCTGCAGCCACTTTACACGGAAAAACACACGGTTTCGTGCTCCGGCTTCCTCCCCACATCAAACCACATGCAACACTCATGCAGCCATTACAATGCGTTTCGCAACCACGGCTTCCAAAACACAATGTAACTGCAATGTGCAAGAACACGCGAAACACATCGAAGCAGCCATTACACTGCGGACTACTCCAAGACTTGGCCGAACCTAGCCCGCACCCGCCGCACACACGAGGTACCTTTCATTGCCGGCTGCAGCCACTTTACACGGAAAAACGCACGGTTTCGTGCTCCGGCTTCCTCCCCACAACAAACCACATGCAACACTCATGCAGCCATTACAATGCGTTTCGCAACCACGGCTTCCAAAACACAATGTAACTGCAATGTGCAAGAACACGCAAAACACATCGAAGCAGCCATTACACTGCGGACTACTCCAAGACTTGGCCGAACCTAGCCCGCACCCGCCGCACACACGAGGTACCTTTCATTGCCGGCTGCAGCCACTTTACACGGAAAAACACACGGTTTCGTGCTCCGGCTTCCTCCCCACAACAAGCCACATGCAACACTCATGCAGCTATTACAATGCGTTTCGCAACCACGGCTTCCAAAACACAATGTAACTGCAATGTGCAAGAGCACGCGAAACACATCGAAGCAGCCATTACACTGCGGACTACTCCAAGACTTGGCCGAACCCAGCCCGCACCCGCCGCACACACGAGGTACCTTTCATTGCCGGCTGCAGCCACTTTACACGGAAAAACGCACGGTTTCGTGCTCCGGCTTCCTCCCCACAACAAACCACATGCAACACTCATGCAGCCATTACAATGCGTTTCGCAACCACAGCTTCCAAAAACGCGCGATTCAAAAAGCGCAACGAATTACGCACACATGAACAACCACACGTTGCAGAACTCCAAGGGAGAACCAATCACACATAGAAACGGTCGGTCCGCACCCGCCGCACACAGGAGGTACCTTTCATTGCCGCCTGCAGCCACTTTACACGGAAAAACGCAAGGTTTCGTGCTCCGGCTTCCTCCGCAAAACACACCCCATGCAACATGAATGCAGCCATTACAATGCGTTTTGCAGCATCACATGTCTAACCCGCATGTCTCTGCGCACATGGCAACAAAACGCGACAGCACTTCCCAGGTCTCCACTTCCCTTCGTCACCACTTCCCTAAGTCACCACTTCCCTAAGTCACCATCCCTAGATCACCACTACCCTAAGTCACCATTTCCCTAGGTCACCACTTCCCTAGGCCACCACTTCCCTAGGCCACCACTTCCCTAGGTCACCACTACCCTAGGTCGCCACTTCCCTTGCTCACCACTTCCCTAGGTCACCACTTCCATAGGTCACCACTTCCCTGGGCCAACAAGTCCTCAGATGGATAGTCTCACACCACCCTTCATCAGGTAAAAGTCATCAGATGTAAAGTCTCACACCACCCTTCATCAGGTAAAAGTCATCAGATGTTTAGTCTTACACCACCTTTCATCAGGTAAAAGTCATAAGATGTAAAGTCTCACACCACCCTTCATCAGGTAAAAGTCATCAGATGAAAAGTCTCACACCACCCTTCACCAGGTATAAGTCATCAGATGTAAAGTCTCACACCACCCTTCATCAGGTAAATGCCATAAGATGTAAAGTCTCACGCCACCCTTCATCAGGTAGAAGTCATCAGATGTAAAGTCTCACACCACCCTTCAGCAGGTAAAAGTCATCAGATGTAAAGTCTCACACCACCCTTCAGCAGGTAAAAGTCATCAGATGTAAAGTCTCACACCACCCTTCATCAGGTAAAAGTCATCAGATGTAAAGTCTCACACCACCCTTCATCAGGTAAAAGTCATCAGATGTTTAGTCTTACACCACCTTTCATCAGGTAAAAGTCATCAGATGTAAAGTCTCACACCACCCCTCATCAGGTAGAAGTCATCAGATGTAAAGTCTCACACCACCCTTCATCAGGTAAAAGTCATCAGATGTAAAGTCTCACACCACCCTCCATCAGGTAAAAGTCATCAGATGTAAAGTCTCACACCACCCTTCTTCTGGTAAAAGCCACCCGTAACTCGGAAGATTGCTTCCCAACTTCCTTTGATGAGTTGATTCGTTGATTAGTTGATTGATAATGTTAACTAATACTAACAAAAACTAATGTCAACTAATATTAATGTTAATGATAATAGGGATAGAAAAATACGTGATAATAGCTAATAGCAATAATAGTTTTGGAATTACAACAATTGATAAGTAAAAATGTCTGATGATGGCAATATACAAGAGCAATAATAACCAGAATACGAAGAATCAAATAGATTGATTAAGTGATAATACAATATTAAACAAACTGGTGATAATACCAATAAAAACAATGATCAGTGTATAGCATACGTATTATTGGGTATTCCTAGATGTCAATTATATGCATGTATTAAATCCGCCCACACCGCTTTGGCGGTGAAGGCGTGCTTATTGGGGGGCAACAGCAACACTAAATGCTCAATGACATTTGTTAATATAGCAGTCGCTATATCAGCTTTAGCTGGGGGGGGTGGGGGCCCAAAAACGGTTTCGCACCGAGACCAGAATACGGTGGTGTTTTCGACATTTTTCGAGGATTTTTGGGTGTCTGAGCGCAAGAAGGTATTGAAATTGAATTTTGGGTCATTTTGGTAGCTTTCCGGCAATGGAAAAACGGCCAAAAATGAAAAAAACATTGTACATAGCAAGATTTTGCAGGGTTTTTGGATGCCAGAGCATTGAAAACACTGCAAAAACAAGTGTTTTGGACTGACGTTATAGCAAAAAACGTGTAAATTACCGTATGCTTGACTGGAAACATTACAAAAACACTGTCAAAAGCAATGTTTTGGAAGGATCTACTGCCTTTATTGCAAAAAACGTGTAAATTACCGTCTGTTTGACTGGAAACATTGGAAAAACACTGTCAAAAAAAATGTTTTGGAAGGATTTCTTCTATATATGTTGGAGTTGGCTACCGGCATTGGCACATGGAAAAATTGAAGAAAACACTGTAAATAGCGGTATTTTCAACGGTTGGGGAGATAAGGGAATTGGAAGCATTGTCGAACATGATGTTTTCGACCGGTTTTATGGCGACAAAAGTGTAAAGTACCGTGCTTTGAAGGAAACCATTGCAAAAACAGTGAAACACATTCAAAGAACACGGGATTGGGGGACTATCTAGGCGTCGTTGTCTAGCTATTTGAAATTCCGCAGCTTGGAGAGCCTCCAAGGGAGGGAAAAGTGAAAATTCCCTAGCTTGGGAAGCCCCCACGGCGAGGAAAAGTGAAAATTCCCTAGCTTGGGGAGCCCCCACGGGGGGGAAAAGTGAAAATTCCCTAGCTTGGGGAACCCCCACGGAGGGGAAAAGTGAAAATTCCCTAGCTTGGGGAGCCCCCACGGGGGGGAAAAGTTAAAATTCCCTAGCTTGGGGAGTCCCACGGGGGGGAAAAGTGAAAATTCCCTAGCTTGGGGAGCCCCCACGGGGGGGGGAAGTGAAAATTCTTAGCTTGGGGAGCCCCCACGGGGGAAAACCATCCTTTGCCCCTTTCACGGACCGAAATAAACCTGCGGTGTGGGCGGCCACCCCACGCGAAGCGGGGTGAATATAATTATATGTGCTACTGATGAGACTGATACTAATAGCAAGTCTGCCCTCCAAAATGCAGAAAGGCGGCGACGCCACTGTGGTCTTTGTCAACCAACTCAAACATCTCCTTAGGCAAAGCGGTGGCCGGGGGCATTACAAGTCCTGACCCAGATATCTGATATTGTGTGTATATTGGTGTGCAAATGGGGAAGCACTATATTAATCATAATGTTGATCATGTTTAATCTACATCACCTACAAGTAATATGTATAATAGGAGACAGAGAGAGAGGGAGAAAGAAAGAGAGAAATATGAATGGTACGTGCGCAATACCCGTACATGTGCATTGCGGCTCTAGCAGCCACATGTAGAACTTGCACTTCTAGAAGTTGCGAACATTCTGTATCATGTAACCGTGGATTACTCTGCAGCTGACATATCCATGTCTATATCCAGTAAGATACTTGCATTGAATTTTCATCATAATTACTGCCATTTATAGCCATAACCATCAACCCTCTGAACTACCCAACCAAGGTTTACTCAGCCATGTCCACATTCCTTTCGCGTTGGGTTTTCTATAGTTCTTTGAATATTATTATATTATTCTAATCTGTGTTCCCACTTTGCCATGTCATGTTCCGAGCATCTTTCATCTTGAGCACTTCTGGGGCGCTCAAATGTGCTGCTGAAATGTGAATCGCCAATTTCTTCAGCTTGTTGGATTTGCAGAACCGTTGCCTCGCGGTTTTTCAACCGGATGATGGATGAAATGACCTGGAATCACTGGAATCAGAAAGTTTCGCCCTTTCCATAGCTGTCTTTGACCAGTTCAGTCTTGTGCTACTTGCAACATCTTGCAACCAACAGCATGCGAATCTGAACCCTTCCCTACTCTGTTCTGCCAATTCAGCTCAACTTTCAGGTCTCCACTCTTGGTCATATTTCAAGCGGAAAACAGTTACACCACATTTCTCTTGCCCAAGTCTTGCAGTCATGGCACATATTCTCCAAATTTTGCGCAGAAATCGCCTCGTGAAACAAAGCGATTGTTTGCTCAGCACAAACGGCCAGGGCCAGGGACTCATAACATCTAATTCATCTAATTCATCTAATTCATCTAATCCAACAATGGAAATGTGGAAATGTCTGGTAAGATTTCCATAGATCTCCAATCCTTCGTTGGGTTTCACCTCTTTTCACCCAAACACACCATTTTCGGATCCTGGTCCCACTGGTGTCCCCCAGCCTTGCCACGGGAGACGTCTTCCATGGTGCTGAACCAGCAATCCGCCAAGCACTCGGCGACTGTGGGACGATGCGCATCCGCAGAGGTCATCCTGCTGTCATTTCACGTGATTCATTTACATCTTTTTTAATATGGGACATATAGGATAACATATGATAATAAATGTTAATACATGTTAATATATGTTAATATATGATAATATATGATAATATATGATATTATATGGGTGACTGATGGTAACTATAAATGATAATATAGGATAATATATGATAATATATGATAATATAGGTAACGAATGGTAACTATACACTTTGAAGTACATAGACATAGGGTTGCAAAAAACATCTGCCAAAGTCAGATTTTTGATCCATGAATCCATGCCTTTATTACCATATTTTTTTATGGTGTCAACGTCCTGAGGATCAGGGACTTTTCTGCACTCATGTTCTTCTTCCAGTTGACCGCATCAGGATTGGGATCTCCAAACAACAGAGCACAAAGGATAGCTCCGCCTCACAAGCACCCGACAAGCGTTATGACCCCGTGTAGAACAGAGAAAGTGGGTTTTAGCAAAAAAATAAAAAAACAAAAAAAAAAACAGAATCACAAAAAAAACAAATCGACAGGAAGAATCACCAGAAGAAACAAGAAAAAAACAAAAAAAAAACTGCGGAAAATGCAGGTTTTGATTTGTTTTTTGATTTTTTTTTGTTGTTTTTTGTTTTTTTTGTTTTTTTCTTGTTTTTTCCTTGGTTATGGTTTTCTAGTTTGTTTTTTTTTGTTTGCTCTGGTTTTGTTTTTTTTTGTTTTTTTATTTTTTTGTCAAACCCTATATTCTCTGTGTTGTTGGACTCATAAGACAAGCGGCAAGTGTCCAAGTGTGTCAGGTTGCGTTTTTTGAGCGGTGCTTCTTCCAAAAATAAATATAATTATAGATATACATATGATACATATGATACATGTATTAAAGAAATATATTTTGTTGCATGATAATATTTAAAATATATTATTGTAATATATTGTAATAAGTAAATCACAATGACAAAACTGGCAAAGTGGCTATATTATGTTATTATGCTGACATTTTCATACATTTTCCATGGTTGCATCCACAAACAACGTTAAAATATGGCCCAGGGACACGAATAGATGTCACAGGCATTGGTGTAAGGAGTCTTGTCCTTAAACTCCTCAGGTCAAAACAAGAGCCAGGAGACACCTTCCGTGTTTCCCCATAAACCTTCCCAGCATGACACACAAAACTCTAAGGATCGTCGAGCACGTGGAGCGGGAACTTGCTGCCAAGCATCTGGAGGACTGAAACCTACAGCTTGAGGGAAGAGAAACCAAACAAACAGATCTGAGCAAAATTGAATAACGTTGAGAGGAAGTTAGGATTAAAGACTATTGAATAACGTTGAGAGGAAGTTAGGATTAAAGACTTGGGAGCTGGGGACAAGTCAACCCACCTTGAACCATTCACCATTGACAAAAAAGGTTGTATGATCTGGATTTGTCAAATGATGGTCAAATAACATCAAATAGAATGACATAGAATGACAATTATTTGTGACCTTACAGTACCAGTGACTAAACCCTCTACCTTCCACATTCACCAATTCAGTTCAGGCAGGAGAAAAAAACCAGCCGTCCATGACTCAACTGCTCACCTGGTCACCCGCAGTAATTGACTCCCTCATTCCTTCACTACCTCATTCTACCTTCTACCTCATATCCTAATTCCGTCCCTCACTGACTCGCTCATTAACCTCTCAATTCTCAATCAATCCATCACATTCCATCACCTACAGTCTGTACGCAATCACTCGAGCATTCACACACTCAATCATTCGCTCAACTCGCTTAGCCATTACTGACTGCTCCACTCAACCACTCAATAGTTGCTTCCGTTCGGCATCCCTCTCCTTGTGGTTTTCCTATTTGGAAACTTCCGAATAGCGCATGCTCATCCAGGATATACTGGCACATATAATATCACATATGTATATATATATATAATTAGCGCAAGACCATACCCACAAGTGAAAACCCTTCAAAAGTTGTCAAAAACAAAGCGGTCTGGTCAAAGCAAATGGCCAGGTACCCTCTTTGAACTCCACTGTCTCCGTCATTTTCTGCCCAGGCGTGAACCGACAAGCACTAGCAAAATCGTTGATCACGATCTGCCACTTCTTCAAGGTTTTCTCCTTCCAAGGCAAAGGTCCGGAACAGTTTGGATTGAATTGATGAATCATAATTTCCCCTGATTTTAAGATACCTTAAGGACATACCAGGGCATACCCCGTTTTCAGCGCCAACCCAGTTGGTCTAGGAGCCTAGGGTCCACCAATAAATCGAATTACCACATGAACTCCAATGTAGCATCAAGCATGATCAAGACATAATATGGCCTATGGCAATGGGTCAAACAAAACATGTCAAAACCCTGATCCTGCAACCCTGGTGAACCCCCCAAAATAGCTGGTAAATGGATGCAAAATGGAAATTCATCATATATTCATCTCCCAAATGGAAAGATAGGCGCTACCCCCCAAAAACATGATTCAGCCGATTTCGCTACGCCGCTACGCCTTGCCATGAAGCACCACCGCATCAGTGCTCAGGTTCCGATGGCACACCTTTTTCTCGTGCATGTACTCCATGGCTTTCAGAATCTGAAAGGTCGCAAAGGTGCAGGCCTCGACACCCAAAAGTTGTGGAGGTCGAAAGTGGTGGCCACGGTAGTGAAAAAATGCTGGCAGTGCCCACGGAATACTATGAAATTGATGGCTAAATTATTGGCGTTATTAGCTATGGCTATGTACTGAAAATGTTATGAAACGAAACAACAAAACTTACTGTAAATTATCTAAAATTGTGTGTGGTCCTTTGTGTCTGAAATTTTCACCAATACCCGACATATTTCCCGACATATTTCAGCAGGATCTAGTCCGAGTAGCATGGACACAATCCTCCCATTCTCCAGCGTAGCGATCCTCTATCGCTTCCAACAGGGTGCCACCGGTGCATAGTTCAAAAGCCAAATAGTAGGATGCTTCATCTTCGCAAGCCTCCGCAGACGAGCTGGTGCCATGAAATGCAATGAATCCTTTTTGCAATAAACATCAATTTATAAACCCTTTAAGGACCTGTTGGCCCTTCCTTGCATATAGTCATATTGTGTCATATTATATATATCATGAATGCTGGAGGCCTTCTCGATGATACACAATCCATACCAAAATGCGAAAAACGCTGATCCTTGTCAGATTCAGATTCTTGGCCCTATGAACTATGAATGTCCATGATGTTCTGTCGCTATACTGCATCTTGCCACATCATTTCACATCCAACCTCCTTCAGCTTTGCAATGTTGGGATGGCCAAGGCTCCTTTCGACTGCAACCGTAAGGAAGAAAGAAATTTACTCTCTATTATATAAGATTTCATCCATCGTCTTTCATCTTCTCTCATCGTTTTTCATCTGAGACAAGTTTCAGGTTTTACCATGTTTTACCCGAACCTACCGATCACATACTGTGGTGACAAGGCATCAAACCCCCCCTTGTCCCTGCGCGATATTGCAACATGACCCCGAGCTCCTGAGGATGGAGATATGCTTGTCCAACTGGGCCTTCAGTTTGGATCAAGACAAACCCCACATGAAACTGAATCTCTGAAATTCCGCAACCATGAAGCATCATGAAGCTAAACTAAAGGATCAACTTTTCAAGCGACAATAGAGACTGCAGTTTCATCTTTGCCAAGCGTCTCGTGTTGTCGTTGATTTGGAAAGGGGCCTGAAGGAATTAAAACCCAAAGATGGGAAAACAAACATAAACTTCAAAACGCATCGACATGCTGTCAATAGTACTTGAAGAAATGTCGATGTGTTGATACTCTTGGGGTGTGATTGGGCTGCTAGACTGAAAATATCTTAAAATGCACCGTGCGTGTTTTTGCCCTACACATCGGCAGGAACAGCTAAGAACAATATTTCTGACAGGCATGGAACATGCAACACCACTCCTACGTCCTACGTCATGCATCCTATGCCAAGCAATTCAACTTTCACCCCTCAAGATGAGCACAGGAAAAGGTGCCAAAAAGGATCCCAAGGAATCATGAATCCCAAAAGACAATTTTTCAATGTGCTGATCCAAGGTGTTTACCCTGAAAGGTGTTCAAGGGTTTTCCCACTTTTCGAGTTTCAATTTTCCCAGATTTCCCAGATTTCCCCATCCAATTCAGCTCAGCCAGATCTTTCGCTCAGCCGGAGCGCTGAATCGCAGCATTTTGCTCCGTCAGACGGTGACGGGCCACGATGTAGCGACCAAAGTCCCCATACTTCGAGCCTTGGCGCTGCGGTGATCCCTTGGTGACCAACAAATCATGGCATAGGCATAGTTCGAAGATGTTAGGACCATTAGGACCGTTAGGACGTAGATGGAGTTGGTATATGTCTTATATAAATTGATGTAATCTTATATGTTGTTCTATATGTTCTTGATGCCAGTATATGTTTTGCTGCCAAAAAGTTGTCTCTCCAACATATGTGGATTGCGATGGGTTGTGATGGATTGGGTGAATTGTGTGGTGAACCCATATGTCCGTAACGAGTCTCTCCACAAAGTGCCAGGGCTGTCCAAGTCCCTGGCTGAGCGCCTCATCTGGCTCGTAGTAAGTGAGGAAGGTGCCCTCACCTGCGCGCAGAATGAGGAACTGGCCCCCAATGGCCACCTTGTAGTGAGCTGATTCTGAGCTGCTTGTGAGCTGCTTGTCTCTGAGATTTGGGCCCAAATGATTGTCCACAAAGTACCCTGCATCCAGCGAGTGAATCTTATGTTGCTCGCTTGCGTCGTACTTGCCTGCGGCAGCGACACAAAAGGCTGGGCAGGTGGTCTGCTGTACCACCGCTGGGGTTCCGAATCATGATTTGTTCAGATCACTAAATTGGAGTTGGCACAGCATTAGGAACCAGTGCCCCAGAAATTTCAGCCAGCAAGGCTGGGACTCAGTTGGACTACGTGCATAGCATTCCAACAGTCGTCCTAGTGTCCTAGCACTGGGCTTTGTTTGTGGCAACATGCGTGGAAACTTGGCGGGCAACCCAAAGCCTGCAGTACTGTTGGAGGCTCCACATCCCATGGTAGAATGGGCGGTCGGGCCACAAGGACTGCAGGGCAATGTGTGATTCTATGCTCAATCGTGCTCACCTACATCTCTGATCTCTCCATATTCTATCCTGGTCCGACTATCTGCTGGGCTACCCGAATGGTTGAGGGAGCTGAGTTGTTTTGCCATGTCTTGCAATCCAATACGGCATACTGGGGCCATATCAGGCAAGAGCGGATAGAATCTCCTCCCTCCACTGGAGCATGACAGCTGCAAGAGGATACACTTCAGTCGCCAAATCCAAGCTGATGATGTGAAAGCACGCCAGAGCCACCCAGGAATTTGTAAGCAGAGAAGCAAAGTGATTAGTCTTCTGCTCTGGGTGTTCATCCAACATCATTCTCCAACATGCCAAACAGTTTGTAAAAACTAAATCTATGCACGACATCATTGTGATATCATTCGTAATTATATAAAAATCACATGTATACATATCTATCTGTCTGTCTGTCTGTCTGTCTGTATGTATATGTAACATATAATTTTAAACCGTTATAAACCAAATTAAACCAATGAACTGCGCAGCCCAGCCCAACTATACCACTCGACCACGCACACTCCCGCGACGCTGCAGACGAGCTTCTTGGACACCGATGCTGCATGGAATGCCGCAATCCAGTCCCATCCGCCGTCCCCAAGGAGTGAACCAAGCTTCCCAGATCTTCCCAGGATCCGGACAAATCCGGCCAGAGACCAATCACGTACAGAAAACAGCAAACAATCCGAAGATAGTAACCTCCAGTTGCTTTGGGTTTTGTTGTGCAAAATTCTCTGCTCAGGTAACTAACATGCTCTGAAACCTCCCAAGGCTTCAGGATGCGGGATCGCAACGACGTTGGGCCATCGCCAAGGTGGTCATCTCACATGATGTTTGCATTTGTATTCCTGATATTATATCATTGATATTGTTTATGCATATGTATATATACACCTGTATGTATGTATGTATGTATGTATGTATGTATGTATGTATGTATGTAGGTATGTAGGTATGTAGGTATGCATGTATCTATCTATCTATCTATGTATCTATGTATCTATGCATCTATGTATCTATCTATGCATATTAAGGATACCAACGAGAATTGATACGCTTGGCTGCGACAACGTGCTACAACATGCTACCACTGTCAGAGCCTGGGATGACATGGGATGCCAACTCTGGGGCTGGGACAGTACCAGACACGGAGCACAGAAGCTCAAAGCTGCCTTGGCAAAAATGGCACTTTGTGACTAAAGGGATGGTTCACTGTTGGTTCACTGTTGGTTCACTGTTGTTTCTTTCACTCGGACACCCACCTGTGGGATATGGGTTGTCTGGGCATGCTATCAACGGTGATGCCCATAGCTGGGCTCTTCACGATGAACAAATAGGAGAAAACCAGCGCTACAAAGGCCTGAGACATGCGAATGGCGATCACCCAGCACTAAGACACGACAAGATCAATAAGAAATTGTGCAGAAAGGAAAGCCAGCTTTGTTGCTATCCGAGCTATCCTTTTGCCCATGTATGCCCATGTCATTTTTACTAGCAACCATTCAAAATATTCAAAGCGAGCCGGGTGGACAAGGTGATACCCAGTGAAAGACACAAATGACACAAAGCAAGTGCAGTCTAGATTAGGACAGGAAAGTGCTGCAAATGAGAGCGAATGCGGTGATTATTGATTATATATATATAGTCTTTGCATGTCTTTACCACGCATAGTTCGCATACATCATGTCAATGATTCTATGTGTTTTTCTTTGTCAATGAATTTTCTGACCTTGTCCAAATGCAAGCTTGTGTCACACCTTATGTCATGTGTCACTTTTTCAGCCACAAACGCGCCACGTTAGCACTACAGCTGTAAGATTGTCCATTGATCCTGCAGCAAATGCGTGCTTTACCTCGGCTGGTGGTATGGCGGAGTGGATGAAACACCACACTGACGAAAGCCGGCGAAGAAGAAAATCAATTGAAATCATGGCAGAAGAATGGGATTCATGTTTGTGTTCTTTTACTGAACTAAAACAGTCAGTAATATTTAACATACAGCAATTCCTCCAGAAAGTCAGGTCACCAAGCAATGAGCAGCGAGCTCAACACCACACTGCCCAGCGCAAACCGCCCCAGCATCTTGGTCCTTCAGAACGGAGCAGGATCGCGACCATGTTATGGCTCAAGACATATCAAGCCCTGGTGCCATGCTGTTCACAAACTAGCTAGTTCTGGACGTTCATGCCATTTCATGACATATGGTTTCTCCGATTGTTTCTCCTTTCTTTCTTTCTTTCTTTCTTTTTTTCTTTCTTTCTTTCTTTCTTTCTTTCTTTCTTTCTTTTTTTCTTTCGATGCTTGGACCCTCTGCACCACTTTAGCTGGTGCGCCGTCGCACTGTGCATGGTAACAATCACGCAGTGGCTCAAATGAACAAATCGCCCATCGCAATGCCAGCATGAAAACACACCATGTTCATTCCTTTCCCCTCAACTGGCCACAAAATATCATAAATCCAGATAAATTGGCTGCAAATCTCCCCATGCTTGGCATCCTCCCATTTCCCCCTGCCCCTCCCCAGCCCCTTCCGCCTGCAAGACATCCCAGATGCCATCGCAGGCCAGGACCACGAAGCGATCCAGGGACGGGTCCAACTCCACGAGGCGCAGCTCGGGCTCGGCCGAAACCAGCTGCCCGGGCAGGACCTGGGTCATCAGCCAAGGGGGCACCATTGGGGTCACCACCAAATGTATCCAAATGTCATGTTTATATATGTTTAGCATGTTCTTAGCATATTAAACCAGGCTTTTTAGAGTTGATACTGGGATATACTGGGCAAATCTCTGGCGAAGTTCCGTGATTTTGCCAATCCAAAGGATCTGTGGCGGTTGGCAATTCTGTAACACCTCGTGACAAGCTCAGAAAAATCGTTCTGTCATGTTCTGTCCAAACACGAACTGGTTGGTGAATCAGCAAGATGCACCAAGTGTGGATGATCCGAAACGTAACTATGGAAAATCACCATTTTTAATGGGAAAATCCACTATAAATGGCCATTTTCAATAGCTATGTTAGTTTACCTCGCGTCCCAGCCTTGGTGCATCCGTATTTGTAGGGCTCTTTCAGCAGCAGGTCCCCAAAGGCTCGTGACACCGCCAGACCCCAGCGGGCGATGGTCCGGCCTGTGGCATGGAAAAAAGCGATCAGCGATCAGCAGTTGTTTTGGTGGTTCACTGAGGATCTTCATCCAGATAATGACCATTTTTTTTAATATATATATATATATTATAATTATGTATAAATATATTTGTTTGGACTGCAAGGCACAAGGAAGCTGTTAGCTGCATAAATATATATATATATGTATATATATATATATTACTCCAACCACCAACGACAAATTGTCGTTTCAGGTACCTAAATTGGACGTACCTACAATGTATAAGGTGTATAAGGCCTATGTGAGGGCTCTCGAAAAGGATTTGCCCCAAAGTATGGTTTTTGATGATATGGTACCTCCACTTTAGGGTCCTGAAATTCCCATAGATAAATTTAAATCCAATTGATAGATTCTATAGACTAATTCATGATCTAGAATCTAGCAACCAACAGGAAAATATAAAACACACACAATCGACAACCATCTCCCGTCAAATGATATGTTTGCTTAGATTGACCATGATTTACAACCCAACAGTCACCACTTAGAGATACTGGGCAAACTCTCCGCTGCAATCAATTGCAGATTGGCTTGTAACTCACTACTGCTCTAGTCCTGAACCATCGTAGGATCCATAAAAATGCCCAAGAAACACAAGAAATTGGATGATTAACAACTGCATCATCTCAATCCGACTTTAGAATTAGAAAACCCACGTTTCGATGGTGGGTCCAGTGGATCCTCCTCTTAAAATCTGGAGCTTCCGCGGCTTCGCCTCCAAAGACAACCTGCTCAGGGCAAATCACACGCCAAACGCCATGGAGGTCCACCGTTCCGCCCAAAGCTTCAATCCGCTGACGCTCGTCTTCTCGGTTGGGCTTGTGGTCCTGCCACGACATACCCTGCCTTCACTGGCTACTGGGGATATGATGTGCATGTACACCATACAATATGATAATGTGTGGTAAGCCTAAACAATGATGATACTAAGAAAATGATGATGATGATGAAGAAGGGGAAGAAAATCTTTGGGGGATAGCTTTTAATAATCTCCGAATGAACCGGTACATGTGTTTTTTTGATGGCTATGGTTTTGGTAGTTTACGTTTGGAGACTTAAAACATGCCAATGGCTAGGCGGCTAGGCCCAGGCATGTTGGGCCATACTGGGTTTACTGGACGTAACTGGAAATTACATGAAATGATGGTGGGCACATGTGGCACATTTGTACTAGAAACTTCGACCCAGCAATCTCCTCAGATAGGCGAAAGACCTGAAGTCCCTGGGGTCCCGAAGAATCAGGGGCAGTTGCTCGGCACAGAATACCACGGGAATCCCCAACGTTGGCCACCAAGAGCCTGCACGTAGGACCGCGGAGCGTTGGATGATTTCCAACAGTTGTAGCAACCGCCCCGTTACATCTGGATACATCCGGTGTGTCAGTGAGTATCTACAAGTCGTTTACTGTCCTGATGTTCTTGACATTTTGATAAATGATGTTAAATGTTGTTCATATACCACCACGTTTTGCCTCGCACGCATTGCACAGCACACTCAACCACACACACACACACACCACACATCTTGAAGCGCGCATCACAGTATTGCTGGCGCACAATAATAGAACAGCCTGCATGGACAGCACATGCTCCATTTGTTATATTTGTTGAACATTACTGAGCTGCATGTAGCACAAATGATACCAAAGGATACCAAAGGATACAAAAGGATGAAAACATACAGTATCAAACAGTATCAAACAGTATCAAACATACATCTTTAAGCAATCAGCGCAACGTCAGAAAATGGTCCAACAGTCCAACCGCCTGGTCTTCCCCGGCTGGCTCGCAGTCTCATAGATCAGCGCCAACAGCAAGGTGGATCCATCCATGGCCTCTTGTTGCCGGGCCCAGGTCAAGAACCTCAGATGACACTGGGACGATGAAAATCGATGAAAAACAACGATTGCATTGGGAAAAAATGGGTGAAATGGATTGAAATGCGATAAAATCATATATATATATAATCATATAAAATCATGCCATTCCAGTGATTCGAATGGCATGGAATGGCATGGACAACTTCACAAATGCGAGACGATTTTCAGCCATGGAACTCTTCGTCCACCATGGCGCAAGCTTCGACCACAGCTTCTCTCAGAAAGTCATCAGATAATAGTGGCTTACTGGCGACACGCGCCTGAAGCCCTGCTGGAAGCCTGAACTGGCACAGCAAGGGGGCATTCAAGGAACACCAAGGAAGCTTGGATCTGGTGATGACAAGATACGATGACCATGTTCAACTAGCCTATTATATCTATTATATATGCATGACTCATACTGTATATAACTGATTTTATCATTCTCCGAAACATCTAACAATGTCAACCCTAGACCGACCCTAGAGTAATAACCCATGGTTTAGATTTATTATATAATTAGGGCGGTACTCCCCAAATAGTCATGATCTATGATGATCTATGATGATCTGATACTTAAAGGGTTCGATGTGGCTCATCTCCCTAAATCCATCCCGTGGCCTCTCAACTAAATGATCCACACAGCGGGAGCCCGAATGTCCATCCAGCACCATGATGCCAGGCACCGAAAGTCCGTCCGAAGACAGGAGCTCCTCAGCTGCTGACACTGGAAATTTTAGAGACACTGGAAGATCCTCGAAATCACATTCTACATTCTACATTCTACACAGTAGGCGGAGATATGCGGAGTGTCTTTGGCGACCTTATCAATCAGCACCACTCCTTTTCTGGCAGAAGTCTTCAGACTTTGTGCAGAAACATGCAGAAACCCAATGTTTCACGGTGACACAGTCAGCGAGGAAAGCTTCACCTGGAGATATTGCACAACAAAAATCGCACTCATCAAACAAAGCCTGGCAGCGAGATTCGACCATCGCAAGGTCATTTGGTTTCAAAACATAGCAACCATACTGACCATAATTGCTGTGAAAGTATATGATTTCTTCACGAAGGTCAGTTGAAGGACATGTAGCTGCATGAATACTACTTTGAGCACCTGCCACCACATTGATGCGGCTGCAATCACAACAGTTCATAATGCATCCTTCACAGCAGTTCTTTGGTTTCATGAACTGAGAGCGGATGACCCCCGGGTGGATGGCAATCATTTCTGAGACAATCGCACGGCGTTCCATCTCCCGGGCAACCATCAAGTGTGCCAAACAATTGGCATATCATTGGCATATGCAGCGATGCCTTTTCCCTTGAAGTTGGGATCCGCGGCATCGATAGGCATATCTCCAGCCACAATCCGCTGCGGTTTCAACAGGCCATGACCCGAAACGGTGGCGTTTCGTGATCTCCACGCCATCTTCGCCGGACATCCACCACTGGATGCTCTCTGAGGATCTGCTCTGCACATGCTCGGGTGCTCTGAATATCTCTGAATGCTTAAGACATCACCTGGCCGTCAACAGCTTTTCCCCAGCAACATGCACAAACATCAAACTGAATGACTGACAACTACCACATTAAATACTCGTTAAACAATGAAAAGGTGCTCGTACAGGACCCTGACATGATTATTTTTCTTTCGTTATCTTTCTTTTTTCCTTTCTTTCTTTCTTTCTTTCTTTCCTTTCTTTCTTTCTTTCTGTCTCTCTCTCTCTCTCTCTCTCTCTACACCCCTCCCTCGTTTCTTACCATGTCACATTGGAAAATCGGTGGTTTCACTCTCAGGTCGAGCATGGTGGGGCGCTTGCGCCGCAATGGCTTCAGCATCTGCTGTGGCCTTTTCCGGGTTCCCGAGCGGCCAGTAGAACTTGGGCTCCCATCCAGCGCCAGAGCCGTTGCAAATCTGATACCAGCCTGGGATGGTCCTGTGATCGTCTTGCCAGTGCTATCTACTGCCTTTGCTTTGAACTTCCCCTGGATCATATCCTTCGCAAACCCACCATGTGGCTGCCATGATGTCACCGGGTAAGTTGTAAAACCGATGAACCTCTCGAGCGGCTTGAGCCGAAAAGTGGTCGCAGCCATGGCAGCCATGGTGTCACCATGGCTCAAAAGATTGATTAAACCTCCTCTGTCAGTCTGCACACTCAACTGGGCTGTGTTCAAAAATGTATCATGCTCCTTTTCCGAGAATTCAAAGCTTACGTAGGAGCTGACGTTCGCTTAGGTTTTCCCGCGTTTTGCTTGCCGCAAAACAATTTCAACTACATAATTAGCTTACACTTCTCTTGTGGCAAACCAATATTGGGAGATACAAGTATATACATATAATGATCCAATTGCAAAGGAATGCAACCTTCGCTTACGACTAGCAATGCCCTAAAGAACGTGGCATTCATTCTGGCCTGCTTTCCCTATAAACAATGGGAACCAAATGAGTCACACAACCTTGTTTGAACCCCAGCTCTCATGGCACGACTTGGTCTTCCGAACGGCTTACGGCAATATGTTTCTGACCAATGCTTGCGTCAAAGCTGTCGCACTGCTTACGAAATCCAGGCAAAGTCTTTACTACTTGATTTACTTGATGGTTTTTTTTTGCCAAGCCAATACTAAACATGTGAAGGGGAATTTGGTTCACGCTGCCATAGACCGCCGATGGCAGCATCGGAGCCCAGGACTTGCCACAAAGAGTCGATGTCAAGCACGAAGCGATCTTCATTCATTTCCTTTCCTCCCTGCCAACATGCCTCGGAAGTCCAACTGCCAGGTAGTCCAAAGCCAGCTGAATTTGGGTGACACTTCGTAGCCTCAAAAACTGGACACCTGATGATGATCATCATGTACATTTGATAATATACTGATTCAAATCTATCTGATATAAAATTAGTATACATAATGTGCATCATCTATAATATAAAACTATTGCTGTTATGATTACTATGTATATATATATAATTATATATATGTGTGTGTGTAATCTATACTGCACATATATATATATATATCATATTGTATCATAGAGTAATTGATGTTCATATACTGTTATCATCTGTTATCCACATTGGTCTGTTATCATATGTTATCATTATGTACTCCACGTGACCGCAGTGGTACAGCTGTGACCAACTCCGCCAAGGTACCGCCCCGACCTCAAAGTGCAAGCGCCCACAGCGCATCTCATGCCGCGTGGCTCGGAAGGTGCCAGCCTATGCCCCAAGGTATCCCCCAAGGTGCTGGAAAATCATCAAAAAACTCAAAGATATTTAAAGTGAGTGGCGATGATTTGTGGTAATTATTGATAATCTAGATTGTCATTAATTGTCATTTAAAATATGTTAAAATCATGAATGATGTCATTTAAGTTGACATTCAAAGCACGCGAAATGATGAAACTTGATGAAATCAACGTGCTTTGCGCGTGCTGGCGACGCAAACCTGCGCATTTCGAATCTGCTTCGCAGGATCAGAGCCGGCCCGACGGTATTCGATTGCTTCTTGTGCCTGTCGCGACTCTATGGTTGGCGGGGGAAATCATGCCTAAACTTCGATAAATCCACGAAAATCCAACAAAACATGGTAATTCAAATTGCCAATGTTGGATACATGGTACATCATGGCAAAAAATGGTAATTGCCATTGGTACATCATGGATCATCATGGTACGCTGCATCCCATGGGCCTGACTGAACTCCCCAATCTGTTGCCGCAGTTGTGTCTCGATTGCTCCCGCTCTGCTGCTGGTGACCTGATCTCATCTGATCTCCATGTCCCAAGATGTCCCAACTGATCCATTTGGAGGTTTCCTGAAATAGGGGTACCCCTAAATCATCCATGTTTATAGGATGTTCATGGATTTTCCATTATAAAACATCCATTTTGGGGTACCTCCATTTATGGAAACCCCCATTTGAGGCTGTCAGGTGAGGATCCCCACAGGATTGGAAGAAGACACTGCGTCATGCAGCTGCTGCCTGAGACGATTCACGCTGCTGATGACCTCTTCTTTATGCCTCAGGCGTCTCTTCGCCATGGGGAGTGCACCATGACATGATGTAACTGGAACATACTGGAGCCACCTTGATTCACATTGTCCATCATTGACCCTCATTTTTAGATATTGCTTGAGCTTGCTACTGTCTGATCACACCGTCTTGGCGATCCAGGTTCTGCTGGTGCAATTGCGAGTACTGCTCCTAGCTGCAGCGCAGGCATTCAAGGTCATGAAATCTCTTGCAAATGCAACAAAGATCAACAAAGTAGCTACATAGCAATCACCACAATTTTAAAGCTGAGTAACGTGGGTCTTCAAAGCCGCAGCGTCCGTAAATTTACGGGTGCAAAGGTAACAAATGTGTTGCGGCGCCACTGCTGCCATGGCAATGAGTCTCGAAGCCGCAAATTGACATGAAGAAGTGGCTGCCATAGCGTTATCTGGGCTGCTGTAGAAAACTTTCTCCCCGTGCAGGCCAGGTTAGCCTTTTCATTCCATCATGCCCAGCTCTGCGCTTACAAATAATAATTAATTATATGTGTGTGTGCACATATCCATCGCGAATATGTGCATACATTTGCTAATTAGTCGGTTCATGTCATATCATCTCATGCTGATAGCCCATCACCTTGCAGCTGTGAGTATCTGTACAATAGATAAACCAGCATTCCTCTCCACCATTGCGTTCTTATGGGTTTGTGGTTGTTTGCTGTTTTTATCATGTATCTATATATCTGGTTGAGCTGCGCTTCAATGAACCTCGCATTTGGAGGCCTTCTGGGTATAAATGACTGGTTGATGCGACACAGGCTTCACACCTGGACCTGTGCTGACAACTGCTGATTTGAACTAGGAAGGTAATGAACCTCCACAAGATTCTATAAGTAGTAAAAGTACTTCATACATCTCAATCCGACTGAATTTGGACAAGCCTCCTAGCATAACAAAGGTCCTGACTCCGAAAATGGCAAGTCCTGAAACTGAAACCTTGAACCTGTAAACGAATGATCCAAGTGCAAACAATCCCAAGCTGTTGGCTAACTTACTAAGGGCTCTGCGACCCACACGAGGCTTTCCCAAGCCTCAGCAACCATTCCGAGCGGTACAAGCCATCCTGCTGGGTACAGGTTATGGCAGTTATGGCTGGGCAACTCCTGGGTGGCTGGCTTTGATGATCATCGAGAAACTTGCCTTGGCTGCCACGAGAACAGCTACTGGACAGCATTCGCCAGAAGCGCCACTAAGAGGCCCCTGGGCCCGCTGGGCCCGCCACCACTGGCGGTGCCGTCTGAACAAAGCGCATGAACTGACAGCCATCAATGGTGATATGTCGTGATGGGGCGACACTGATGATGTCCCATTTGTGTGAGAGATGTAAAGATATATATGTAAAAAGCGTGCAAGCCAACAAGCGAATGGTGCACCACTCTTGACTGGCGCAATGCTCACTATCTCTAAACAGCCGCTTTTGGGGGCATCGAATCTTGTTTGGTAAATGGTGCATGGTCCACCCATGTCCACTCCCCAAAACCTCTCCAGCTGTGCTGAAATGGACGGCCAGTGGAGGGCGCGTTTTTTGGCACTTCATGCAGCTTCGAGGTTTCTGGTAAAACATTGACTACTTCGCAAGGATTTGTGGCACTTGCAGCTGAGCCACATTCAACTTGAGAGGCTCTGGCTCTATGCATTTTGTCGCTATTTTAGCCCACGGCAAGTGCCGAGATGCCCAACCCCACGAAACACAATGACACAAAGCATTTGTTGTTTGATGTTCTGTTGGGAGTCTGTGGGTGCTCGAGGGTTTACTATGGCATCTCCTGACATGGAAGGCTCTGTACGTACGTGCGTGCGCTCAGGCATGTTCTTACTGCATCGGAGACGTGGGGAAAACCACCAAAGTTCCATGAGGGAATGCACCATCTGTGGTCCACACCAAGCCCACAATGAGGAGACAGGTTGTTGACTGATTTAACTTGATATGTCCATTGCATTCCATTGCTATATATTGCTATCGCAAGAGGTCTCAGCGAAATCACCCAACGAAGAGCAGCAAAAACACGCGGAGCAAACGTGCACCTTGTGCCTAAAGAAGTCTTTGATAGTCTTTGCACTGACTGAGTGACCTTTTTGAAAGGACTCTGCAAAGTGAGCTACACAGGCCATATGCCTTTGGTGACACAAGCGCTGCGATCTACCGAGTTCGACTGATCAGCGCCCATCACAGCGCCAACTTGAAAACCGCTGGAGCCGAAGGTCTGACCTGCTGAACCTGACCGCGCCCAAGGGGATCACGGGCAAAATTCGCTAAAATATCATTAAAATGGTGTGCGTGTGTGTGTGTGGGTAGATAGATCAAAAATTAGCGACAATTGAATCTGAAGACGCACATCTTCAGCATGTCTTGCTTTAAGACAATTGGACTTGCTTGATTGACTTTTGCTTGCTTAGTTTGCTTGTGGTCTGACTGCAGGTGTAGAAACAGGCCTGCAAGCTGAACGTAAAGAAAGGCGTGAAAGTGAAAGATTGTGCTACTTAGGATCTACTTGGCACCTTTCACCAGTATGGTCGCACATGCGTCATTATATTCCAAATCATAGCATATCATAATTGTTCATTAATCATCATATTTTCTATATGAAATATTGAAATATATGAATATGATAAGTTTTATGATGCATTCTTTTGCCAGTGCAACTTTGCGACCTTGTTGTCAGTGCCATCAATTTCGAGCACCACGTCGCTGTGCTCACACTCACTCCGTCTCGACTCTTCCTGGCCGGGATGAGCCACACTTCCTTGGAATGCTCTAAGCCCCAGTCAGTGAAGTCCAGATCTACACATCTCGTTGAGAATCGTTGAGAAAGTGGAGGGTACATATGGTACATGAAATCCAGGAGGCTGCCATTTTCTGGACATGAAATCTCATGAAATCTCTCTCCAGCATCTCCTGCCTCCTCCTGGACAACAGTTGGTAGACCAAACTCGAGAGTTTTGCTTTCGGTTGTCCTTCGCAGATTCGATTGGATCAGATACGACTCGCATTCTTCATGTCATGTCAATTTTGTTTACTCAGTTTCCACATCAGTCAAAATGATCATTGACAACCAGCAGCTGGCTGTCAAAGGAGTATATAGCGTGTAGATGCGTGTAGTAACATGCAGTAACTTAGAGGAAGCAATCAATAAAACTTCGCAGCCTTTGGTGAACTACAGGCTCTGGTTCAGCCACCAAATGCCAAGGGCCCATACACCACAACAATGAATTCAATACAATCAAACAAAAAATAAATACAAAAAGAATACTAAAAGAATTATATAAACACCGAAAACCCCTTGTAGGGAATTTACATGCACAGACTCAAAACAGGTGAAATGAATTGAAATGATTCGATTGATTGGAAGATATCGCATTTGAAAAAATATGTAACACATTGTAACACCATGATGGTTCCTGGGTTAAAGTTCCAGGTGCCAACACATGGTGACCAACATTCAACAGCTCTTCCAGGACTCATTCCGACCTTGGACTGTGGCTGCGGTGGCTGTACATCGAAGACATTGACGATTCGTCGCATCTGACGGTTCGATTCCTACGCCTGCGCGTCGCCAGGTTGGTCAAACTGTGACGCTGTTGGTGGGTTGTCCCTCTTAGAAATCGATGGTGACAACAAAGACTATCAAAGACTCCACGGTGATCTGCAGAGATGTCAAGACTACTGATGGCTCTCTGATCTCTGCGCTCATGCCACATGTTTTAGCCACTCCCGCCTCAAGATGGAAGTAGCATGACCATCTGAGTCGAAGATGTGTGTTACATCTCCATGCCTCAACTGCTCTTTCTCGTGGCGAATGTGTTGGAGGCTGTTCACAGGTGAAACTTTTCATTGTAAGGGGCAAACCAAGGGAGTATGACCTGAAAGTTACAGATGGACCAAGCCTAAGGCCTAAGTTCGTCAAAGCTCCCCCCTTCGTTCTCCACCCTTCGACAAAGCACCCATTCGTTTTCCATGCTTTTCCTCCCTCCTTCCTTAGACCCTTCGTCAATAGCTTCGTCCAACCCTTCCTTTCTAAAAAACACCTCAAGACGCCTCAGTTTTCCCGAAAATAACTTCAAAACAAACCTCCCAACGCCTCTTGCAACATCTTGCCACCCTCCACCACAGAGTAGCTTTGTCATGCTTTGTCAATAGCTTCGTCTGGCCCCGCTTCGTAGAGTTCCTTTTGGTGTCGACTAACCCCTTCCCCTTCGACTAAGTTCGTTTGGAAATTTGCCTTCGTCAAAGGCCTGCTGAGGTACTCCCCATGAGGGTATTGCCTTGG